AGTTTGTATGGGAACCGTTCCCTTAAGGCTTGGTCCCAGCTCATGGTATTATTGAAGGAAGGGTGGTGGAACCTTCAAGAAGTGGATGCTAGTCAGGCAGTGGTGGCACAGGCCTTTAATCCCAGCACTCGGAGGCAGAGGCAGGTGGATCTCTGTGAGTTCCAGGCCAGCCTGCTCTACAGAGCAAGTTCTAGGACAGCCGGGGCTACACAGAGAAATCCTGTCTCACAAGAACAAACAAATAAACAATAAAAGAAGTGGCAGGTCACTGGGGACACATCCCTGAACTCTGTGTGTGTGTGTTGTGTGTGTGTGTGTGTGTGTGTGTGTGTGTGTGTGTGTGGACCACACCCAGGGATTCCAATACGCTAGCCAAGTCCCCTAACCTATCTCCTAATCCCCGCCCCTCTGCCTGCTGGGATGTTTCTGCCCCTCTGGAGACTGCTCAGTTTTGCCCCTTTCCAGGGTGTTTCCGAGGGAACCAAGTTGGGTCCAGCCCCTGTTCTTGCATCTTTGTTGATCCATCAAACAGTAGTAAGCCTTGTGTGGTGGGCCAGCCTACGTAGATTGCGTTGTCCCTGCTGAAATGCAGACACCCCCACGGAGGGGAGGGGGCAATGGTGGCTTCTGTCATTCTGGGAGGTAAACAGTCGATACTGATTAATTAACCAGTTTAAGATAAACATTCAGTGAACTCCAAAGTTCAACTTTTTAATGAGCCATTTTTCCCCTCCCAGGTCCCCCTCGTAGGTCTCTTTAGGAGAGTTGCCTTAGTGGGACCATGGCCCCTGGCTGGTTAAGGTACAATTCCATGCTCTAGGCCTGCTCTGCCCATGAGCTGGGCTAGACAAGACACCCTGCACACCCCGGGAACATCTGCTGAACATCTGAGAATATCCAGGGTGAGTGTAACAGTGGTTTACACAATCCATTGGCCACCTCCCCCGATCCTGGAAACATGGTTGGGCTCGTTTGGCCCTTGGTCGTGTATGGCCCTCTCCTATGTGGGCAGATGTGACCTGGAAACCCCCACCAGGCAGATACAGAGAGCAGGGTGGGAGGCCTCCTCTAGTTTCTTCTGTACCACATGGTGTCAAACCAAGCTCTCTCCTGCTCCTAGCCATAGGAATCAAGGCATGAAAGACCTTCCAAAGCTGACTGTCTCCTCATCTTGTCCCCAGCTCTGGGACTTCAGCCTCAGGCAGGACAACAGCATTCACAAGGGGGGCCACTTCAATTCCCAGCTCAACCCATCTGCTTTCCAGGGCTTCTGAGCCTGAGGGACTCTTAGTGCTTCAAGCTCAGGATATTCCGGCCAGTGAGCTAGTTAGAACAGGTTGTCTGGCCCACCTGGACCTGCTGGATTGAGTTTTCATTTTAACAACATGGCCAGACGATACCTCCAGGCCCACTGAAGCCTGAGATGCAGCAATGGCCTCTGCCACACCCCTAACCCACCTCACCTCAGTGAGTGGTCTGCTCCCTTGTGGTGGTGGTGGTGTGGGGGGGGATGTTGGCTCCTAGTGTAATTACTGCAATTATCATGTTGGACTCATTCCTGGTTTCACCCACACCTATTTCCCCTACTTTAATTTAAGTATTTGCATTTTATTATAACCCAAGCCCTCTGGATCCTTCCCAAGGCCAAGCAAAACACTTTTTTATCAGGGACTCATCCAGGTACTTGAACACAGCTCACTGACTTAGCCTTTACAGTGCTCATGTTGTGTTTCACAGGGAGGATCACAAATGATCCAGCCCAGGGTAACTGCTGACTGACTGGGCACACCTTCCAAGTCAGCCCCATAACTGTCTGCACATAGTCTTCAGGCAGGAGACCATTGCTGCTGGGAGGGTTGGATTTGTACCTGGCTTGAGATTTTCCACAGATGGCGGAACCCTGGCCCTCTGGGAAAGGGAAAGAGGAGAAGGTGTGGGTGGGGGAAGGGTAATGAATGGCCTGATGAGCATCAGCATGCCATTAGCCAGCGAGGGCCTCCCTGGGTGAGGGATGGTTTCAACATCTTTCTTTCTGGGAAATCCACCCATCACCCATGTTACATTCTCTTCATTCGTTTGAAAGCCGCTACCTTGTTGGGAGTGTTGCCTCTGGTACCACGAGAGCTGTCTGTACCGCATAGTCAGGGGGGGAGGTGGCCCCAGGGAGGCCGCTGGGCAGCCTGAGTCTTAGGCATCTGGCCTGGGCTTTGAGGGAGTGAAACCCCACCTGGTGAGGAGTGGGAGGGAAGCAAAAAAAACACCATTCCTCCCAGGTCTTGCTTTAAAGCCAGCACCTAGCCTCTACCCCATGCCAACCTGTCCAACCACCTCTTTTAGCAGCAGGCCTATAAAGGCCAACAGGTCCTATGACGCAGCTCTGGCCCACCTTCCTTAACCACAGTTGTCTTGGGGTTGGGGAGAGGAAGGTTGTTGTTGCTTACTTTTAAAGTTTTGTGTTTTGTTTTTTAAAGATACGGTCTCATGTAACTCAGGCTGGCTTCAAACTAGCTATGTGATAGCAGAGAGCTTTAAACCCCTGCCTCGGTCTCCATAGTGCTGGGACTGCAGGTGTGGGCCATCGCTCAGGGTTGGTCGGGCGCTAAACCTTAACCTACCCTAGGTTCTAGAAAGTCACACTTCAGGGATTGGAATATTGCAGGTCCAGAGTCAAATGATCGGGGGCCACTTTAGCCCAGGACACAGCCACGGTTGCCCACTTCTCTGTGTGTGGGGGACCCATTGTTGTGAGCAGAGCTCTAGCTACTTCCACCCCCAAGGCTGAGACCCTCAACAGCGCATCTGAGGTTCCCCACCTGTTACAAAGGAGCATTCGTTTATGGCTTTGTTCCGTGGCTATGAAAACTCCATCAAGTCGTTACCACGCTGGCTGGAGCGCGGTGTTTGGGATAACGCGAGTCTGTGTTTCCGGGCCACGGCCATTCACGTTTGGCTGTTTCAGCATCACTGTGGGAAACAGAAGCGCACGTGCGCTTGTCCTGGGAGGCGGGCGAGCCAGCTGTGACCTGAGTGCCTCGGTTGCCAGCACTGTGTAAAACGCTGCCCTCTTGACACCTGTGACGCCGGGGAGGGGAAGGGGGGAGGAGGAGGAAAGGGGAGGGACGGAGGACCGGACTGGACCCGACCAGCCCCGACCTGCTGCCCCAGCCCGGCTCGCTCGCGGCGCACTGGCGCCACCGTGCGGCTTCTCTCTGCCATTGCCGCGAGGCCGCTGTGGCGCTTGGGTGAGTCCAGGCTGAGGTGCTTGCTTGGAGCTGCACCCCGCAAAGTGCTTCCTCTCTGGTCCAGCAGACGGTTCAAACACCTACCTGCTTTCCCGATGGGCGGGAAACCGGCTTGTGCCGGCTTTCCAGCGGCAGGACGCAAAAGTTGGCTGTGTGTGTGTTTCCAAGCCTTCAAGTCCTGCGGCTACCTCTTCTCGCTGCCCCGCCAGCCTCCCCGCCCTACTGCTGCTTCATGCTCAACACCTAATGGTCCCTTTTTCTAAAATTGCACACGCGGATCTGTTGAAGGCTAAGTGCAGTCTTTTCTGCTTGGCTGTCTGACACTCGCTCACCAGGGATGAGCCACAGGTGTGAGCTGTGCAGTTCACACACACAGGCTAGAAACTCTGGTATTTCCATTTAAAAACCTGGCGTTGCACAGAACGAAGCCAACCCATAAAACTCATGTTAGTAATTTCCCAGTGTTTCTTAGAACATTCAATAGCAAGATCCCCATTAACCAGGAGGACCGTAGAGAAAACCGCACTTGCCCTCCCTCTCTTCAACAGATGACACTGCTGGGGAGTGCCATCGAGGCTACATCGGAAGGGCCCACTGGGATCAATCTCTGTGTTTGGTTAACAGTGTCGTTTGCTATGTGAGAGCTGCATCACCATCCATGTGCTAAGTCTGTATACCTGAAGGAGTTCTTCTGAACCTTCAACTTGGTCTATATTAAAATCACACAGTCAGCAAATGTTACCTAAAAATATGATGGGTAGAGCAAAGTTAAGTGCTTCATGCTCAGGGAAAAAATTCTGGACTAGGAGATGGCTTGTGGGCCAGATTTCAGAACCCCAGAACCCACATAAAAGCTGGGCAGGTGTGGTAGCTGCTCATAATCCCAGCACTTGGGAGACACATGGGATCATTGTGGCAAGCTGACTTATTGGCTGGCTGGAACTAGTAACACCCAACATAACTTTGCGCCCTCCCTCTCTCTCTCTCTCTCTCTCTCTCTCTCTCTTTCTCTCTCTCTCTCTCCCTCTCACTAAACCCATCAAGATCCAAATTAAATTCTCTGTAAGGGTGGCACAAGCCAGGCTTCCCGAGAGTGCTCCTACTCATTCATTAGCATCACTGGACTCCACCAGTGGGACACTTGCAGCACTCTTCTCAGTGACAACTTTCAAGTATGTGTCCAATCATCACCCGTGTTCCCTGTGGGGCACTTGCTCAGGTCAGCACTGCTGGCCTCCATGATCAAAGAGAGGGTGCGCTCCACTCAGCTACCAGCCGACAGGGCTCCCCGAGCATCACCCCCTTTTCTTCACTCCAATTCAGAAACCACTAAGCACTTAAGACTGTAGGAAGCCGAAAAGTTTACCTCATGGGAAAATGGGAGATAAATGACATAAAGCAGAATGAAATATGGACACCATGCTCAGTTACAGAGGTGCTGGCTGTGCAAGCATGAAGAACTAACATGCAAAGTTAGATGCAGTAAAATGTGCTTGTAATCTCTGCACTGGGGAGGCGGAGACACCAGGGAAGAACCCTGGACATGGGAGATAGCAAGCAAGAAAACAAAATTGGTGAGGCCCAGGCCAGGAAGACCCCACATCAAAAATCAAAGTGGACGGTTTCTGAACAACGACATCTGAGGTCACCCTCCGTGCTCTTTGGGCACCTGCACACAGGCACACACCCACACATGCAGACACACACACACACACACACACATACACATACACACACAGAACACAAACATCACAATGATGAATTTCCACAAAATAGATTTTACTGTATTGAAAATTGTATAAATAAGGTGACTGGTTATTCATAAACAATTGTATCCAATTAAGTTTTCTCAAGTCCAAGAACATTTAAAACCTCATACTTAGAATTTTTATATACACGGGGTTTTATTCTGTACTGCTATTACCAATATGCATTATAGACTAAAGGAGAAAAAGAAAAAGAAGGAAAAACCACCACTGAGTTTCTAGTTTTCAACAGGATTTCCCATCTGGCAGACTGTCACAGAACAGACAGGCAAGATGCTCACCAGATCGTAACAATCCAAGCTTTCACCAAAGACACAGCTTCAAGAGATCCAAAGGCACTGTATTTGCAGCTGCAAGAGATCCCTGGCGCTGTTTCTGCAGCTGCAAGTGCCAAACAGTAGAGAATTTACACAAAGCATTAGAAAGGTCAACCTTGGCAAGTTCTACAACCAAGTGAGTTATTATAGATCCAGAAAGTAAAGGACACAGAATTTTAAAATGTAGTAAGTCTGTGTGTTTAATCACGAGGCAGATCACATTAAAATGCCTCTGACCTTCCTGCCAACAGCACTTATTAAGACAAATGAACCTCTTTCTGATGAGGTCTTCAGAAAACTGTAGCAAACAGCAAACGTCTCGCCCTGACACAGGTGAAGGCAGCATCACCCTCAATGACACACATCTCACACTCTGTTCTGTTCTGAAGCTGTCTTGTGGGGCTGAGGACAGTTAGCAAAGGTGGCCTGCTTTTTTCCCCAGTAGCCTTAAACAGACCAACTTTCTGAAGACAGTTCTCCAACATTAAAGATTAGGGAACCATACATGTGATTTAAAACACGAAGACCGTTCAGTTCATACTTAAGGACACTCTCATCAGATACAGACAAGGCATAGAGCTTGAGAGCGTCAGTGTACTGACCATTTATTCAAGGCCACACGAGAACTGGGAGGGTGAGTATCCTGGGACATAAAGGCATTTCAGGTGGCCGCTTGTGCCACAGGACAGCAGGACAACAGCTTCCTCCTCGGGTTTCTTCACGACTCTTCAGAAATCACTGGGAGCTGTTCTGGCAGGGGTTTCCCTCAAGGTAAATCCATGTTCTTAGGTATAAGCTTCAACCCTTTCACTCTCCCAGAGTCTAAGTCACCGGTGTTTAACTAGTATGGTGAACAGCTTGGAACTGGAATGCCGGGCTGTCGGATCAGAGGCTGGGTCTCTCCCTGTAATACCACACACCAAAACTCTCCCTGGCCCTATAATTCAACCTGTGGGAGAGTGAAGACTCCTGCCCTGTCACATCTTATCAACAGTGAGGTCACACCGCAGCTGAAGCTCATCTGGAAACTGCAGTGAGGCCCTCGAGATACATCACAGCCAGCCACCACCAAGTGGCTGATGGGCACTAAGAGACTGAACCACACACATCACCAGCAGTCGTGGACCACCGATGCTGGGCACACAGTTCCAGTGTAAAACTAAACACGGCAGATTCAGGATACCACGCAATCATGTAAACTTCCCAGTGAGTCCTCCAGGTTAAATATTCTTTCCCTAACATTTTCTCCTAAAATCTCAAAATCCCAGTAGTAATCACACACAAGATCAAAAGCCCAAGCAATCAGCAAAGGCACCATACTTTCTACACAGGGCTATTAGGAGGAAAAGGGAGACATGTCCTTATTGTAGACTTGCTGCTGAAAAAGAGCACAAACAATCCCAGCGTCATGCTCACTGCACACAAAGGCAAAGCTCAGAACCAGACACACAAAACTACAGCAGTCGAGTACAAATCTCTAGTGGGCTGGCAGTACCCACCACTGGCCCAGCTCCATGCCTTGCTGGCCTAGCGCATGCCCAGGATCTGCCTGCTCTTCAGCTGGTAGTTCTTTTCAATATCCGACAGGGCCTGAGCCCGCAGCTGGGCAGCATGAAGCCTCTTCTTCAGGTCCTTGCACTTGGATTTGGCAAGCTGGCTCTCAGAATTCTCACTCCTTGTGGTGTTCTCTTTGCTTTCCCCACGGAAATGAACCTTCTTCCTCATTACTAAGGATGGATGATCAAGGTCTTAGAAAGAAAAAGAAAGGGCTCTGTGTTACCTGAGACCAACTCTGTCAATCAGACCAAAGATCACTGCCCTACAGCTGTCACCTGTGTGACGTTCTCTGCAACAAGTGGTCAAGGAGGTGGGATGACAGAAAGCAACATTCAACTTTATTACTTTTAAATCATGTGTGTGGATATATGCCCATGAATACAGGTACCTTCAAATCCAGAAGAGGACATTGAAGCCCCTGGAGCTGGAGTTGTTGGTGGCTGTGGGCCATCTAATGTGGGTGCTGGGAACTGAACTCAGGGCCTCTGCAGGAGCTCTTAGCCACTGAGTCATCTCTCCAGTCCCACTTTTTTTCTAATATTTGTTTGAGCTATGATCTTGCTGTGTAGCTCAGGCTGTCCTTAACCTCAGGATGCCCCTGCATTAGCCTCTTTCATAGCTGAGTTTATAGGTTACACAGGTATTGAGTTGACACCAAAAAATCAAGGACAAATGCTTTGATTTCTTAGTAATCAATTTTTCTCTTATGGTTCAATGCACTGGGGTTGAGGGAAATCAGCGTTTACTCTGTTCCTGAGAGCCTATGACAGAGCACATCCAAGCGCTCACACAGCTCAAGCACCAGAAATGTGTTTCCAAGCAACTGCAGTGAGCAAGGCCAGCCAAGCTGCAGTGACGATGAGACAAGTCTCACATGCACTGACAACCTCGCTTACAGACACCCTAACTACAGACGGTGCTGTTAGGGGCTGGGAGGTCCAAGACCTTCTTAATTTCCCTTTGTGTACATTTAAAGGAAATAATGCTTAAATACTTACCAAGCTTCCACTAGGGGCCACTGTGAGCAAACGAAGGCCCTTTTCTGGAGGGGATGGCAGGCCATGTTTAGAGATGGCACAGAGGTGCAGCCAGCCAGCTGTGTGGTGCTTGTGGGTTGAAGAGGGAGCCTCAGAGATCAAGGGAGGTGAAGGGAGACAGCTAGAGGAGAGGCAAGAGCCTGGCTCCCAGAGTCCCTGAGTTTCTCTGTCAGTACAGGCTGCCGCCAGCAGACCTCAACACCACCGCCTCCCTCCACTACCCACAGCATCTGCCTAAAGGGTGGTCCTGACAAAGTGTTTACAAAAAGAGCATTGCATCCAACAGCAGAAATGGTTCTCTAAGTACACAGAGGGGGTTTCCAGATGTGGCTGCCTGCTTGGCTGAGCTTAGCGTCACTTCACAGCCCCACTGTGCAGGGCATCTCACCTCTCCAGTGTCCTGGGCCCAAGCTGCCATCTGCCCCTTCCACCCTGCTGCTCCGAGCTCTGGCTCTGACACACTCAGGTGTGCAACACTCAAGTCTCTGAGCTGCAGGGGGCTCTGTAGCTTGCTCTAAATACCATGACTCACTCACACAGGTGCCACACCTATCTATGCACCCCACAAAGCAAACCTAGCACCTCACCCAGCTACACCTCTGCTCAAAGACACCAGGGTGAGATGTTATCACACCCTCAACTGAAGAGTAATCCCCAAACGGTGTTCAATAATTGAGTGTGAATATAAAGCACACACATCAACTTGATCATGATTTAATCTGTTCTGTCTTTATGGATAGCATTGTGAATCTAAAAACTGCTGAAATCAAGGCAGGTGTGGTGGCGCACACAGACAGACGGATACACATGGACAGGCGGATATCTGTACATTAAGAGGCCAGTCTGGTCTACATGTCCTGTTCTAGGTCTCTATTAGCTAGATCCATATAGTGAGACTATAAAAAACAAAAACAAAACTACTTCAAAGGTTTTAACAACGATCCAAAGCAAAGGCTCACTCTGTGGTTGGCCCCTTTAAAAAAAAAAAAAAAAAAAAAAAAAAAAACAGGGTCTTATTTTGTAGCTATGACTAGCCTAGAACTTGCTACGTAGACCAGGCTGGCCTCAAACTCAAGTTATCTGCTTGCCTCTGCTCCCTGAGTGCTGGCTGGGATTAAAGGTGTGCAAAGTCAGAGGTCAAGTTTTGAGAGTAGAGCTCTCCTCCACCAAGTCCTAGAGATTAAACTAGGGTTGTCAGGCTTGGTGGCAAGCACCTCCACCCACTGAGCCATCTTGGAAACCCAAGTCGTATTTTCCTTTTTGTTGTTTATTTATTTTTGCTTATTTTGTAAATAGTGTGTGTGTGCTCATGGTGGGGGGTGGGGGTGAGGGAGAGGTTATGTGAGCTTGAGTGCAAGGACCTGAGGAGGCTAGAAAAGGAGTTGGGTTCCCCTGGAGCAAGTTCCAGGCAGGTGGGCTGGATGTGGGTGCTGGGAACGAAACTCAAGTCCCCAGAAAAACAGTGTGGCTTGAATAAGAGCAGACCCCACAGGCTCATATACTTGAATGCTTACTCGTCAGGGAGTGGGGGTACTTGTCACTGGGGGTGGGCTTTAGGGTTTCAAAAGCCCATGCCAGACCCACAGGATGAAGACGTAAGCTCCCAGCTACCTTTCCAGTACCATGCCTGCTGCCACACTCGCTGCTGTGACAATGACGGACGAAGCCTCTTACTAACCCAGGCGCCATCTTTCTAGTCCTCCTCCCCACTTCCCTCAGGATTAGACTCAACTCACTATGTAGAACAGGTTGGTCTCAAACGCCCAGCAATTCTGTCTTCTAAGAGCTAGGATTACAGATTTGCACCACCATGCCTGCTAAGCTATACTTCCTATGATGACTGAAGTGTGGCAGTTTTAAAATGCCAGAGTTTTTGCTTGAAAATGAAGAGAAATATAGTTTTGATAACATAAAGAAAATAATATCCAGAGAAAAATTTGAAATGTAGTTTTGAAAAAGTTTCCTTTGATAAGGTGAGTGAAGATGAAAGAAATTTTGACTCCTGTCTCCTGTCTCTAACCAGGAATCAGTCACGACACCAGTAGAATCTCATTTCTACCAGAGTGCACTCACTGTGAAGTCACCTGACATCTGAGAGCGCAGAGTTAAAGCAGTACAAACCCTGTAATGGCCTCACCGGTTGCACATGTCCACGTGGGGTACAGTGCATGCAGACAGACATACCTGGGTCACTAGCCAGGCACAGGAACCTCTGCTCCTTCAGCAAGCTGTAGTTCTTCACCAAACTTTCAGCTCTGGCCAGTTTGTCCTCTGCTAGTCTCTCTCGAATACAAAGTTCACGCTCCTTCTCTTTAAAAAGGGAAGAAAAAAGAAATGAATACGGGGCTCTGGCCATCAAACCATTTACTTCTGCCTGGCAAGCTCAGCACCTTGGCTCATCTCTCCCACTTGCTGGGCTCCAGGGAAGGTTCCTTTACTGCAGGGGTTCTCAACCTGCCTGATGCTGTGACCCTTTAACACAGTTCCTCATGCTGTGGTGACCCCAACTATGATTATTCCGTTGCTCTCTATAACCTTGCTACTGTTATGAATCATAATGTAAATATCTGATATGCAGGATGTGCTTTCATTGTTACAAACTGAACATAACTAAAGCATAGTGATTAATCACAAAAACAATATGTAATTATATATTGTGAATATTTCTTTCTTTTTTTCCCCAAGACAGGGTTTCTCTGTGGCTTTGGAGGCTGTCCTGGAACTAGCTCTTGTAGACCAGGCTGGTCTCAAACTCACAGAGATCCACCTGCCTCTGCCTCCCCACCGCCCAGCCTATTGTGAATATTTCTAATTACAAAAAAGTAAAATTCTGTCTTGAAGCATGGAGTATATAGCATGGGTAACAGTCTCAATGTAACAACAGTCAACTAGATTGCTACATTTGCAACTGTATGTGTGAAAAGCCAGTGTTGGTGGAAGGCTGATAACTTTCTCACCAGAGAACACATTCTCAGGGCAGTCTTTGCAAGAGCATACAGAAGATAAGTATCTCCACAAGTCTAAGGATTGATAACCAACAATCTGGAAAACCCTGTTTCACAAAGATGTGTGGTTGGAAATAGAAGAAGGGGCAACAGTCTCAGACAGAACAGGGTATGAGCCAAACTCTTATCTAGAACTGTGTAACTGCCACTGGAGAGAAATCAGTTCTCATTACAGCACTGCTCATATGTGCTCTCAGAGACACCTTCAACTCTGACTGCCAATGGGCTTCCGGCAAGTGCAAACGGGTGTCAGTAGATTTGGAAAATGCAATGGATTGTCATCTGCAAGCATGTGCAAGTGTTCTTTCACAGAAATTATTGTAATCTTATCTGGTTCAATTTCTTGTTCCTGAAAGAAAGCAGATAAGCAGGGCAACATGTGAATCCTTCTGGCATCCAGTTTGTTTTTGTTTTTGCCAAGCTGAAGTTTCATTTGAAATGGCTTTGATCTTTCAAATGGAGGGGAGGCATTCTGTCCTTACAGTGGTACATTTAACTCATTAGAGATAGCAATAATGTCCACCAAGTAAGCTTCCACTTTCATCACTGGAAAGTGCTCCATACTGCGGCCTTCCTTTCTGATTAAAAATGTTTTGAGTTCATCACAAAGCTCAAAAGAACATTCTAAAACTTTTACTCTAATCCCAGAACTCGGGAGGCAGAAGCAGGCTGAGCTCTGTGATCTACAGAGCAAGTGCCAGGACAGCCAGAGCTACACAGAGAAACCCTGCCTCAAAAAAACAAAAACAAACAAAAAACCCAAAAACTTTTCCTCTTGACAACCATCTCTTTTCAGTGTGTAACAGCAGCACGTTGTTCATGTGCCCAGTTTGTAGCACAGTTGGGAAACAGTTGGTGGTTTAAAGTGCTTGCCTTTACAAAACTGACAGAATTCACGCTTTTCATGATTTCTAAGTCTTGTGCAGCGTCTTCATTGCTAATATTTGCTGGTGAATCATACAGTGAGTTCCATGACTTTTGGGGACTCACTCGGTACCAAACCCCGAAATCTAGACTCACAGCCTAGCATAGCTGGGCACCATCTGTGCAAACACCACAGACCTTTCTCCAAGAGATCTTGTGCTCTTTCAGAAACTAACCATCTTTAAGTCATCATCACTGATACACCTCCCATTGCCAGTAACTTGAACAGTTTGCCATGTCGGTAGATTCAGCAAGCTGAATTCTAAACATTGGAAGTGAAGCAGATTTAACTTCCTAGATTACCTGCTCGTCTTCTGCAGACAGATTTCCTTCTGCCGTTAATAAGGAGATGGCATTCAAGTGTGTAACAAGTTCATCCTAATAACTTGAACAATGTCTTTGGCACCTGGCAACAGCAAATCTTCAGCAATGCTGTAAGGTTTCACAGCCCTGGCAATTCTGCGTGCTTCCAAATAAATATGAGGCTTCAATGGCTACTGCACCTGTTTGTAGAACTTGCCCCCAGTCTGGCTTTCTTGAGTTCATTAGCTTGGCTGCTAACATAGTTGGTATCCTTGTTGGCAAAGCTCAGATGCTGTTATCCAAACGCTATTTTGGTTTGTTTGGCTTCATAAATTCAGCTGACAGAACTTCACAACAAATAACACAGTGTAATTTCTCAATTCCTGCTTAATTCCTGAGGTAAAAACCTCACTGTAAAACATCCTCACCATCCTTTCTTTTCTCAATGTTCCTCTCTACACGATCCATTGCCATGGGATGGCTTTCTATTAAAATATATATATATATATATATATTTATATATATATATATATATATATATATAATATC